GTGCAAGTAAGGGTGCAGGCAAGGGTGCTCAGCCCCACGCGGCCAAGCCAGGTATACCTCCAAACTGCAGGATCACCTGTGCCTCCAGGTGGCTCCCAACATAGGTTATCTCTGGCAGTAGTGCAGAATTTAACAGAAAGGAAAAAGAGCCTGAAGTTCCAGAGAATCATTAGGGCCATGAACTTTGTCACTATGCTTGACCGCTAGATTATTACGTGCTCCAGGACACTGTGATATGGGAAGAGCAACATGTGATGTTTTTATCTTCCCGTGCTGATAATGTGGAGAATGAACAAGCTATGTATTTGTGAACAGTGGGCACATAGTTAGGAGGCTAGATTAGTCAGAGTCTGCAGGTATTTCCTGTCCAGTTCACCCTTGGGCTCAAGGCCAGTTCTGCCAGGCTCACTGTGGCTCATCCATTCCACAGACTCTAAAATTAGGGAGGGAAATCCTATATCATGTCTCCCTTTTGGGAGCTATTCCTCTACTGTGTGCTGTTTTTCCTAAATCTAAGCTCGCTTTTCAGTCTGAATCTGCCTCTTCATTTGTTCTCCAAAACAGGTCCCTTCCAATCGTACTTTTAATAACACAGACTGAACACTCCTAATTCAAAATTCTAAATCAGGAAGATTCCAAAAGTTACAAGTTTTGAGAACTGACAGGAAAAATGAAAAATTCCATAGCTGGCCTCAAATGGCAGTCACAGGCACACAGCAAACATGTAAAATTACCATCCCGGGACTCAACGGTAGCACACATGCTTAGCACATGTGAAGCCGTGAATCCAAGCCTTAGCACCTACAATAAAATAAAAAGGAATCCACCATGATGTTTAGGTATATATGAAATATAAGTGATATACATAAAATATATAAAATAGTATATACTCAAGGTATGTATGAAAATAAATGGATTTCATGTTTTAACTGGGATCACACTCAAGCCGTCTCCCGGATCTGCATCTAGGTGTATGCAAATATCCTAAGATAAAAGCAAATGTAAACGGAGACTGCTTGTTTGTTTCCCGGCTGCTCACCTGAATAATCACACAGAAACAACATTGTTTGGCCAATGGCTTAGGCATGTTTTTAGCTTATACCTTAAATTAACCCGTTTCTATTCATCTATATATCACCATGAGGCTGTGTCCTACCGGTGAAGTTCCGGCATCTTTCTCTTTTGGCAGCTAAACATAGTCACAGCACACAGAGGGGAATCCCACATCAAGCAAATCTGAAATACTTCTCGTCTCAAGCATTTCAGATAAGGAATACTCAATCTGTAATAGAAAAGTGCTCTTTACATCTCCATGTATCAGACACTAATTTCTCAGTGTGTATTAAATGATCAGATTCTCACACAAGCCCTCTGAGATGAATACTGTTATTAACTTACATTTTTCAGAAGAACAAGCCACAGCTTCCCTGGATCCTATACAGGAGCAACACGGCAGACTGAACTCAAGGATCGCCTACATATAATATTTAAATGTTTTAATTTGCATATGTACGTGTGTAGAGGTCAGAAGATAACTGCTGGGAATCAGTTCTTTCCTTCAACCCTGTGAACTCTGAAGACGGAACTCAGATTATCAAGCTTGGCAGCAAATGCCTTTATCCACTACGTCACCTCACTGACCTTGGAGTTGATAGTTTTAACCATCCACCGTGGTTTAGAGTACTTGCTATGCTTCTAGAGGATCCGAGTCTGGCTCTGAGCACCCATATCAGGCAGCTCACAACTACGCATAACTCTGGCCTCTATGGGCAGCTGCACACACGTGACATGTTTTCTCTCTCTGCCCCTCATTAACTAACTAAATAAGGCAAGCTCATAAAGAAGCTGCTAGACACCTCCCCAGCTATGCTAGTCAGCCTTCCTTAACAATTATAACAATAAGTCCTTCAGATGAATCAGCTTCCAGCTGGCTCAGAGTTTTAAAGTTTCTGGTGTGGTCCATGGTGGGTTGGACTCTGCTTTGGGGCCTCTATAAGATGGAGCAGAACTTTCACCTCATCACGACTAGGTACTTTGCTTTTCAAGACAGGATCTCTGTGTAGCCCTGGCTGTCCTGGAACTCACTCTGTAGACCAGGCTGGCCTCATACTCATAGAGATCCTCCTGCTTCTGCCTGCACAGTGCTGGGATTAAAGATGTGTGCCCCCAGCACTCAGCTCACCTCATTACATCTAGGAAGCAAAAGAGGGGAAAACGAAGAAGTCAGGGCCCCACGGTTTACTCTCCTCAGGGGTACCCCACCCCAGTAACCTAGAGACTGCTCATCAGTCTCCATGTCTTACAGGATGCACCATCTCTGAGCAGCCCCAAACAATCCTCGAGGACAACATTTAAGATCCAAGCAACAGCACCCTTGCACCCCACATTTGTGTTTTTACATACCTTGTACTGGTTTAATAACCCTCAAAACATATTTGGAACTTTGACAGTTCAGTTGATGTTTTCATAGTCTTTCCAGAGCTCCACCTCATACTTAATATCCTTCTAAAGGATTTCTTCAGGATGTAAAACTTACCAGGAATCAGCTCATTAAAACTTCTTCCCTTCAATACTGAATACTAATATGAAATCTTTCTACCAGGTCAGCAATAACAGCAAATCTAATATAAGACTTTTATTGACTTAAAAGCAAATCTGATTACATTAATCTTTTTATTTTTGTCTTGTGTTTAGGTCATAGGTCACCAGTCCTTTTTGTGAGAGAGAACTACTTTTCATATTCTCTAAAGCTTTTAAGGAGATTAGACTAGAAACAGAAAGAGATGTTTTTAAAAAGTCAGTTTAACATATAAAGATCAGGACCTACTTACTGGACAAATGAAGGACCCCTAGCCTTATCTAAGCATAGATATTTTCTGTTATCTTTCTTCTTTTTGAGTCTAAGTTTTATTTTCAGAAATGATTATTTACAAAACAAAAAAAAATAGTTGATACTCAGCACACTATGGTTTTGAAACGTGAGTTATGTACCTCTGGTGCAATTTTTTTCTTGACGATTGAAAAATTAATATGAATGACACAGAATGCAAAACTTTAGCAGAAGAGTTAGTAGATAACATAACAAATATTCTAAAGTGAGAGGCCCGGGAAGAAGGAATAATCTCATAATCTCGTGTTTTTCTCCAAAAGCAAACGCACTGGCTTCTTTATGGGGACAGATTTTTCTTAAACCAGCATTTTCAGAGGCAGTGGAACCTTTCCTGGCCCCTGGAAGCGTTCTTTTGTAAGCTTTTGTATACCGAACACCTAATATTGAAAATGTGTTGAAGGAACACGTTCACTTCAGGAATTGCTCACCCCTCCTAATTGAACTTCATGTGAGAAAAGAAAAAAAAAATCAGCACACAAGTCCGGAGTGTGCCTGGAAAATAGGAACCTTGTAATCCCTTCTAATATCTGAGCACCTGCAGCAACAAGCAAACCCTGTTTCAAAACTGTGGGCAGCATTATGATGGAAAGCAACCTTTGTGTTGAATGCTAGCATCGCCTCCCAAGAGCTGTGTCGTTTTGTGACATCCCCAAAAGTTCTGGTAGCACGTTTAGGAAAGGGAATTCATCCCTGATTCTCAAAAAACCCTCGCTGCCATTTCCCTCAGCGCAACGGAGGAGGGTGGCCTCCTGGAAGGTGATACTCCCCAGCTTTCTGTGTCTAAGACACTTTTGCATCCTGCCTCACAGCCACACTTGAGCTGATTACAGAAACTTCAGCTCTGTCTGTAGAGTTGAGTAAAAAGCACCGTGGAAGGCTAGCTCTACAGGCTTTTTCCCGGCAGGGTCCCTAAAGCCAGGAGAACAAGCAGCTGGCCAGAGGCAACAACAGAGTTCTCCACAGCCGACCACGAAGAGCGCTGCACCGCGGGCTCCGGGAAGGACGCGCTGGGCGAAGCTGCAGGGCGCGCGAGCGGTCGGACGGGGGAGCGAGAGCCAAAGCTTGCGGAGAGCAGCCGATCCGCGCGGGCACCGCAGTCCCGGGAGCCGCCTCAGAGGGAGGCAGAGCTCCCAGCTAGAGAAATGTGCGGAAGGCGGAGCGAGGGAGGCGGGGCCTGCGGGAGCTAAGGCCTGGGAGGCGGGGCTAGGTGGAGGGAGGCGGAGCTAGAAGAAGGCGTGGTTATATGGGGGCGGGACTGTGGAAGATTGAATCTACTCGAAGGTAGGCGGAGCTAGTGGTGGAGCCCGAGCTCCAGGGAGGTGAAGCCTGCGCTCCAGAGAGGTGGAGCTAGAGGAGTGGAGGCGGAATCCGAGCCAGAGAGGCGAGGCCCGAGGTGGGGAGGCGGAGCCTGTGAACCACGGAGGCGGAGTCCCCGGTGGGAGGCGGGCACGGAGGCGGGCACGGAGGCGGTGCCGGGGCGGGCTGCGCAGGCGTCCCTTGCACCTTGTTGATTAGTCAGTGCCGGGAGCGCTGCTATGGCGTTCCTCGGACCCGCGGCTCCTCCTCACTCAGTGCTCGAGGCGGAGGCTAGGAGGGGGCCGAGGAGGAGGAGGCGGGCGGTCGGCCGCCGCAGCTGCAGAGCCGGGGCCAGGGGAGGCGGAGGCGGAGCGGGAGGCGCCGCAGCCAGCCGGACCGCCTGCAGTG